AATAAGTAAGAAATGTCCTTATCAGATTTAGACGGAACTAGTTTTAATTAAAACACGTTTTCATTCGGAACAATCAAGTGTCTTGAACTGTTTATAAGTCGTGGTTAAGTGTGCACTTTATATTAAATTATTCTGGTTCATAAGTTGTTTCATCCGAGGTTAGTGTCGTTATGTATAGATCTCCTGTTATTTTTGGAATACTTTGTCCGGCAAGTCGGTAGACGTATTGAACGACGTGCGTGTATATATTTACATAAAGTGTCATTTCGTAATGCTTAAACTGAATGTACCTTCTCTCCAAGGACATCGGGTCAGAGATGCTCCTTGGTCTGTCGGGCTGTCTTGTACCGTATGGGGAAAGTCATCTTTTTATTTTTAGTGTTCTGTCTGGCGACAGGTCCATATGAACAGGATCCTTTCATCCTTTTCTCGGACTGGGACCTGTTCATATACGTTCTTGGCAGATGATCCAGAAGTGGTTTGCCATTGCCTTCTTCTGTGTGTGAATGGAGTAATTGGTGGGATGCCACGGAGGAAAACTCCGTGTTGCCTAGACCACGGCCTCGCCCAACACAAGTTATAAATCCGGGCACCGCCGGGAAACGAAGTGGGTACCCGGGGTTAAAGCGCCAGGAGCTATGCAACTCCTGGTGACAAGTTTGTTTTGTTTACACCGTCTGAGAAGCGTCGAAGGAAAAACTAAAATGCGATGAGTCAGGAAGAGTGAAATGGTCATGAAGGGACTGACATCTCTATCAAGGGGAAAGTCATCGATGGATATAAATCAACAATGGAATGATGATACACATGGGAAAAGAATGTTTTGACCCAAGAGAGAACACGAAACAAGAGGGTGGACAAAATTACATAATAAAGAGATTCGTTAATTATACCATTCACCGGATATTGGGAAAGTGAGTAAATGGAAAATAATGATATTAGCCAAACAAGTGTAACATACAGAGTAAAGGAGGACTATCTGCAGTATTTAACCTAGTCCCATGTGGGTTGTGAATTCTAAGAGGAAAATACCTTTGCGGGGTTTGCAGTATTTTATAAGAATAGCGCAAACATGAAACTGATTTTAAATGCCACAATGGAGATATTGTAATGGGGGGTTGTTTCAGATTCCATTGGCACAGGATAGATTTTAGCAACGGACGTTTGTGGTTATCGTAATAAAAACTTTGGTTTCCATAAATGTGAGGAATGACGTAGGCGAAAATTATTGTTATAGTAAGAAGCAGAAAATAAGGGAAAGGCGAATATAAGTGTGTATAAAACTCTTTCAGAACAATGTATAACATAAACGTACCATTGCATTCAAATCGTAAAGTTCTAGATTTATTGTGGGTTAGCTAGAGGCTGTTTGAAAAAGTACCAGTAGGCCTATAGGCCTATGTTTAGCCAAGTTGTTAACGGGAATCGAACTGAAGTTGCCTCGTGGCTGGACGATGAGAGATTGAAAACGTGTGGTAAAGCTAATCCTATTATACGCTGTTCTGTAATCACCTCTCCGACGGGACTGAAGCGTATTGCCCAAGGCGACGAAGCTTAACCGAGAGATCTGCTCTTCTGCAAAGCTTCGACGTAGCTCGGCAGAATGAAGTGTCCTAGAAATCGGTGCTGTTGCTGTATCTATAGAAAATTCCTTGATTTATGAACCGACTTATTATGAAAACGTTTTCTTCTTTGCATTTTTAAGACTATGGCCTTGCTACATGAAATGCTGTGCGTATATATGCACAGTAAACATACACTATAGAATTCGCATGATACAATGTTATAAAGAAAACAGATAGCTTACTTTAATATACGCGATAAAACACTCGGAAAATTTGCATTTCCAATAAGAAAACAATAGTCAGTTCTTTAAGTGACTACGCAAATGCTCTAGCATCAGTAAGTTCCTGAGAATAAAAATGGAAGGAATTTCACATTTTTTCAAACTAAGAAAATCCAAGGTAGCTAAATTTTTCACGGTTTTGGGCTTTGTATTAACCGGAGCTAGGTGAATACGCGTTTGTTTTTTCCGTTAATAATTCTGAATTTTTTATTAACTTCTCTGAAAGACCCATCGTATTCGTTACTATTACGTTCACGAATTAGGACTTATAATTTTGTTTCTTTACGTGTATAATATTATCCATTTACATCGAATATTTTGGCGTGGGAGAACGCATATTATAATTGTCTCGTTAAATGGAAATTTTTGTCCGAAATTATTCTTGCTAGTGCTATCATTAATTGAATAATCAGCCCGTCTTCCCCCGATTTTTATTCTGTAATATCCCTTCATACTCCGTTCCTTTAATTTTCCTGGGCTGTTTTCGTGAAAGAAAATAAATTAATTGGTATTATATTTCTGTCTTCTTAAGAATTTTTCTAACTTCTCACTTCAAGTTTTTAATTTTTTTCTTAGTGTCAGTGGAAAAGAAACGTGTTTCTTCCCATTTACTGTCTGAAAACGATACGTAGGACGTATCAGCTTCCTACAACTCACTGTTCTGACCTCAGATATAACTTTCGAAATACTTCTCTGCCCCCACAGAAAGAAATGTAGTGTTTGTTGTTTAAAAGTGGAGCCACAGAACAGCCTACACGAACGTAAGGCATAAAACTCAACAGGCTACAAGAAAAAGTCCATGCTTCTGACATTTATTTTGAAACTCTCCACTTCCTGACAGTGACTCATGTTTCTGAGTATCACTCGAATGGAATGTACACGGCATATTAAATGTATATGAAGGGGACACCAAGAACAGAAATTGACAATTGAATTTAGTGTTTACTACAGAGCACTAATATGACGACTGTCTTGTATTGGTTAAGTCCTATATTCTGTAAGTCAATAGACATACTAAACGAACATTCTACAAAAAACGTGAAGTTCAAGTACCGAAAGCTTTTAAGAGAAAAAAAAACACTCCAAGATAAGTGGACTTTTCTATTAAATGCGACATATTGACAGAAAATAGTAAGTAGAGGTACGATGCCTCATGTGACTCTAGAACGCGAAACCTTTCAGGTGTGAAAAATGTCAAAATAATGCTTATTCAATAATTAGAAACTTAAAGGAAATTATATATATGACACACATATTGGTGTGCAGTAGGTGGGTATTAACACATTCTAGTTATGCCTGTATTTGTGTCTCAGAAAAATCACGCATTCTAATAGAGTTGTGCACATATGTATGGGGATAAATAAATGAAGAAATCTGAATTTTTTATATTTCGGTATTAAAACGAAATTTTTTCGATAGTTAGCTTAATGATCTCTCTAAAAAAAAAGAATTTGAAATAAATCAGCAACGTTACATTAATAAGCGTGTGAATGGAAGTAGATAAATTAAACTTATGATACGCTTTTGGCGTGACTTATTTTAATTTGTTTAGCCTTTTAAAGCCTAAGTTCGCCTAAAATTATTACACGTGATTTTGTGTTTGTGGTTTTAAGTATTTGTTCTTTTATAAATCGATGACGAATGAATCTATTTTTGCAAAACTTAGCATGCCTATTCCTTTAAATCAATAATAGACCGTAATGGGGCCAAAACCTCTGTGTTTTTGAAGACGACGAGTATATATTTAAATACACGAATGTGTGGACACTTACTGACCGTTATCAATTAAATACAGAATTAATAACTGTAAAATAACTGAATGCATTAATTAACTACTATGTAATATTTGCCACAAACCACTGAGATGCTCTTGTTAGGAAAACCGTGTTTACTAGTAATGCGGCGGGATTATTTTGTTTCGAATTGGTTTATAAATTAATTAATATAACAAATTTCAGTTTATATACAAAAATATTTAAATATATTAACTAAATGTCTGTCATAAATTACTTTCGAGATGTTATCGGCGGTTCCAGGCGTCATGCAGGCCTGACTGTAACAACTATTTAGAACATAAAAAAAAAGTCGTTCAATATCTCCAGAAGAGTGTTAACCTCTACGTAACATAGCAACTTTAAAGCCCATATATGGCCTGCACTTCGCGACTCGGCTAATACTACTTTCCATATCGCATAAACATCGCGTCTCACTCCACAGCTACACATCACAGAATACAGATAGCAGAGTCCCTGCGCTGTGGTGTGAGGTTGCAGGTCGTGTAGAAACTCAGAGATACCCAGTCGTCTTCAAATAACATCGTGTACAGTTGGGGCACGTTCTTACATTAGATTGATTCTTCCATCTTGATACAAGACCGATACAAATCTTGTTTTGAAATCTAGCTTCCTCGAGATACAAGGCTGGCATCCACCTCGTAATGCAATATTAATAGTGCTATAGTTCCGTACGTAATAGACGTTATGTATCTAAGTATAATACTGATAAAAATAAATTATAACCTATACGACTATACCAATAGATCTATCAGCTGAGTATTAAAAATTAAGTCCATACATGTGGTTTGAGGACCTGGTCAATTGATATAAGTCTTAAAGAGCTGAGATGTTTAAGGAACTGCATTAAATGTTGTAGGATTTGAAATCTTCACGTTGGTGTGAGAAAAATTGTGGTCTTCTAGGTTGCTACGTCTTATAGTCATCTGACTAAAAACTAACGTTTCGGAGTGACATACTTCCATTATATTCAGGGTTGAAGTAAAGAGAATTAGTAAGTGGACGGTTAAAAAATGTTTAGAGGAGAATGAAGCCAGGAGAACTGAAAAGGGCGCTTTCCTATGGATAGGTCGTATGGGTCTTAATGTGTGGAGTTTGCCTCCATTATCATATGACATTTTGTAACACGGTTCTAAAATACTTTTCTTTCTCACAAAATTATTTGCATCTACAGAAAATCAACACCAGATCAGTAAGATAGTTTCATATGATTCTCACTGCAAACAGGGACCAGTTCTTGAATAACATTAACAAAGTGATCTTTGTTATGGTGTTCTCTTTGAAGTACGGAGCAAGTTCATGAACGGTGTTATTTAGACAGACGTCGACTTCAGAGGATTAATCAATAAGACATATAACCATTTCATATGCGTACTCCCTTCTTTATTCAGAATGCAACGGATTTCATATTATATATAATTATGTTATACAATTCTTAATGCTATATGAACAACGCTGGACACATGCACGACTTCGTTGGAATCTTACACATCTCGGCCACTTATTTGTCAGTGTTTACAGGAATAGCATGTCAATATGCATAACTGTATTCCAATTTGGTCGTGCTACATGATGGAAGATTATTATACATATGAAAACTACACACGCTTAATCGACACATATGTTTACCTATAGTTTATCACTACATAATATCAGTTCTGCTGCACAAAGCATCCATCAGCTGCAAAAAATATATTTTAGCCTATGTAAAACAACAACGATCGTATAGTACGTGAATATATAGGCCTATATATAAGTCTACTAATCTCTACAAAGAGTACACATTCTCTCTCGTAGACTCGTACGTCACACAGCATTCTTGTTGCTGACCGTTACCTTTCGAATGATAAGTATCTTCTTAGGATTTGAAGTTCTGACGGCTGTTAGTACGAATATGGCTGTATTGTGGGTTGAAGGATCGTGTTGCGTGGTAGAATTTTACAAAAGTTTCAGAGGTCCTTGCTGCCTCCATCATCGATCTGATAATGGAGGCATCAAGGACCCCTAAAATGTTAGTAAACATATATCAGACTATGAAGATTTCTGTCTTCTGGGTAGTTGCGCTGTGTTGTATGGTTGATGTATGTCAATATTTCAGAGTTCATACTGCCTCCGTCATCGCCCTGATGACGGAGGCAGTATGACCTCTGAAACGTTGGTAAACTTCTACCATACTACACAGCGCAACAACCCAGAAGACAGAAATCTTCATACTCACCGCTGTGGAAACCTCAAATCTTACATATACCAGACTATACATCGCTGTAACACACAAGAGAGCCATCTACGCAACGACCCTCTGTTTCGTGGTTGTTTGTAGTAACAGTTGATTCATTACATAGAAGTTACATTCGGCATTGCCTGTAGTCTGTGGTATATTTAATGTACATTAAGATCTCAGGGAGTTGACTGCATTCCGAGAATGTTCACTGATTGTGCTTAACCTGATATTATTAATTTCTTGTACCTGTGTCGACGATTGGTATCGATACCGAAAACTTTTGATTAGTCTCGTTCACTCTAGAAGCCGTCACCAAAAACCAAGAAGGACTTTACGCCGCCTTACCGAGTTAGTCTTAGTCAATGGTACAGCGAAGTTAGCTTTGATACGCTACGAGTTTTGAGTTGTCTTCACTCTCCTGGGTCCCGCAGTTCGTGTTGAAAATTTTTACTATTTTTCCGTGACTTTGAAGCATACAATTTTGTGATTGATATTATTATTCATTCAAAGGCGGGAACAGAGCCAACTCCCAAAATGTTTATTTTTATTTTCAAATATACCTCAAACAGTGTAGAAGGTCCAGCATATTATTGAGAAATGTATGTTTTTAAATGTGCAAGACATAACTGGAAATGTCTATCACAATTGGAAACTTTGTATCTATTCATCACTGGTCAGGTGAAAATTGGACTCCAATTTTAGTATTACTGTTGAATATTTGAGTTTTTATAAAATGTGGAACCGAGCCCTTTTATCCCATTGAATTGGTGTGCTAGACTCGAGTACTACGATTAATTCGTATGAAAATGCGAGCGAAATCTGCTAAAAATGTTTGTGAATTGAATTTTAGCATTATAAATTTTCCTTCTAAATCTTTGAATAATTATTTAATACATGTGACCCACTACTAATGCAGTGATAGATAAAACAGTAATGCCAATCATGGTTTCAAATAAATCCGAAGTTAGTCTCGGTGTTGGAGTTGTTAGTTGTGATTTTAGTGAAATATTTTATTGAACGGTAACATTAAAATCTTTTAATTTGAATATTTAGGAGTGAAGCTCGATTTAAATTAGACTTTCTATAACCTCAATTAAACTGAGAACGACAATTGTTAATGCTTAAATAAGTGCTTAACAGTAAGTTAGTATGTAATAATCACTATGTTAGATTCAATAATGTGAATGCATCGGTAAGCATCATCAAAGCTTGAAAATTATATTATTAAATTTTGGTTACTATTTCTATAGTTATATACTAACATGATACATTTTAAATGTATTGTTTTACTCCTAAGGGTGTTTCGTAAATATTTTCTGGCTCAAGAATGTTGCGCTGAAGTATTAATATGTGGTTGTGAAAATTCATGATATTTAATCACTTTACATTCGATTAAAATCGAAAAAAACACAATTACGGCATCAGAATTGGGTTTTGTTTAAAAGTTCTTCCATAGTTTATTAAGTAAGCGCTTTGTTGACATGTTATTGAGATTCCCTAGTTATGTGATTTACAAGTTTACGTTTTGAGAACTGTTTCAAATTCATTTTTACGTAGATCAGTGGCAGTCAATACTTTTTTTACAAGTGTACTAACGATGTGATAACCAATTACCGCCATGACCAGAGACCAAAGCAGTTTGTCATTTAAGAAACAGCACTTAATTTCTTGCGCCTTGGTACTTCCTTACAAATGGTCCACACCACGAGGAACACTCCTAAAAGGAATAGAGGAATGTGATGCAACTAAGGACAATTTTCTCTGTACGGTGTGTTACGACATCTGATTATAGGAATCAAAATTTTCTTTCCTCGAAAAAAGCCTATTGCATTTGAAATACCATAATAAAATCTAATTTGCAGAAATTATTGTATAGAATATTTCAAGGACTGACAATGACAGCACTGATTCCAAGGAAGTAAAATGTACTAATTTTAAGGTAAAATTTATTTAATTGATTAATAAACACCCTGCCTCTCAGCATTCGGACTGCTGTCGATCGCTGACTCAAATTACTTACATCTGTTCCAGAATGAGTACATTAGCACTTCAGTTCTACATTATCGATAGTATAATTATATGCAAGTAGTAAAGGCTTTTCACAGGCTAGCAAGTAAAGTATTTAAGTACAATTTTTATATATGTAATATTACACAAAAATAACTTAGAAGAAGCTTCTCTTTCTTAATAGCAGGCAACTTCCTAAGATGGCTTTTACAAAATCCTGTGGTTTTCAGACAGTCTACGTCACATAGGTCTATAATAATTATGTTTTAATTGCGGATATTTTAAATAAATACGGGGGACAGCAAGTTTCTTTACTTATGTGTTGCATGTTGAAGTATCCAAATCAGTACCTGATGTTGTAATAATTAAATTGTCTTGGATTTAGAAATGGACGCAGCGAAGAACTTACTAACGAGCTAATGAAATTGGAAGACCAGTTGGCCACACAACAGAACATTATTCCACCACCTCGTCAATAAATCGAAATTTGTGGTCAGTGTTGTTAGTACCAGCGACTTTCGGTAGTTTAAACTCGGCGCCTAACTATGACTGCTGTTTTTATAACGTGTTTATTCCTCTGTATGTAATTATTTTTCACACGTTTTAATCAGCTTCATTGGCAATTGCATACACATCCTTCTTCGGATGATGAACGTTTGGAGGAATCAAACTGTAACAGAGCATAAACTTATATATATATATATATATATATATATATATATATATATAGTTTATATTTAGAAGGTTGATTAAGTTTAAGGGACATGCTATCACACTTTTAAGCTATTATCTCTCTCCCTCACAATGACCGCTGTAGTTTCTGTAGATATTCTTATCGCATATTTTAAGTTGAGTCTTATCCTATACGAACAGTGAATTATGTTATCTTTTTTTAAACTTATTTTTGTGGAGCTACGTATTGAAATCCGTTCTCTTATTATGAACACCCTTACCTAATAATGCTTGTTAATAATATAAAAATGCCTTTCATTACCATCTACATACGTATGTACCTACTTTCAAATCCAGTTGTCGTCGCATTGATGAGATGAATTACATCACTTGGCTAACTCATTTCTGATTTACAATTAAATACATCACTAATCACCACATAGAACACGACTTTAACACAATAAATGTGTGTTCGACAATGACAGTTAAGCATCTGTTTAGGAAAAGTCTGTGTTGTGATAAAAATCTAAGATGCTTCAGTAGTAATTCTGAATAATATTCTTACTTGCAGAAATTGGTTCGTCTCAGTCATCACTTTTTTTTCTGTCCCTGTATTTCGGAATGTGGGCGTTACAAAGAATTTGTAAATGAGTTTGCAGAGCACATACACTTTCGACTGCACACTGTTCTTCTGTTTTAGTGTCTTGTTGTGAGTATTTGTTCGTCCATCAAACACTTTGTCCATGAACCACTATAATTCTATAATTTCTGAAGACAAGTTTTATTGACTCTGTCATGGCACATTGTGTCCGTTGCATGATCAGCTGTAACCACTGTACAGAACAACCCAGCAAATGAACCAGGTGAGGAACCAAGTTCCGCTTTTCGTACAGACGCATGGGGGGCATGTGGTAGCTGAACTGCGGGCCCCAGGATACCTAGCTGGCGGAGGCCCGAAAGACGGAAGTGTGTAGTCGTCATCGTAGTCTGGAACACACGAAAATGTCAGTGAGATTATACAGCGCTTAAAGTTGTTTTGTACTGGATGCGAAGGAGTCCATGTTACCACTTATGTCTGGGTCACGTCATTTGCCTTTCCTCGAACAAACATATCGATATGTTAATACGTATACCTCTCAGAACATCTGACTAATACTGCATATATTTACATATCAGGAATTTGTGTATCTGAACACTTCTCGTACTACCAACGAGATATGTCGCTTTGAAGAAATCTCTGTTCTTCTGTTCCGTATATTTTATGTATGCGGTATTATAATTGGAAATAAACCTTTCCTACAGGCTCTTCACATTCGAGGCAAGTGATTTGTAGCATATTACAAAGTGAATGTATTATTCCTAGGTCCTTACGTTCTGCTATGAATATCGTACTTATTTTTAATGTCGTTTCTAAGTACTTGACTTTGAATAATAATTATCGAAGGATTTGTTATAATTTGTTGTGAACGATTCCATCTGTTATAAATCAGCATGTTTAGTAGTCATATAATCTCCTTACATAAGAGTAAAGACAGCAGGAACGCACAAACAGTTTAAATTTAAAGCTTATTATTTGTGCACATTTTCATGGGATTATTTTCCACGCAGTCTAAATCCTTTCGTATGAAAATACGTTTTTCGTAAATAATTTTGCATAAATGAAATACATATTTTGTTCACTAAATGTGAGGCTTGTTCGTGTGCTATTTTAAACCGATTTGGATCTGATGCGATAAAAATGACAACAGAATATTGTAAATAGCGACGTGTGTAATGCAGTGCTTCGTGTTTGTTTGAGACTGATTGCCATTAAATCCGAGAGAGAGATTACGATTATTGGCCATCTGATAACGTTATGAAATGTGATTGTATCATAACATTGATCTCTGAGCCGAGAATCTGACACAGCGTATTCTCATATAGCTAGTTCTAAGTAATTAGAGGTAATTAATGTAATTGAATTACGTTTGTTGAACAAACAGAAATTAGTTTAGCTGCGTTTATTGGTGTTGTTCTTATGGGTTGTAACGCCGCGTGGACTAACATTTTAGAGAAACATGCTGAATCAAACTTGAGTTTATAGTTTATTTAACGCCACTTTTTCAGTACATCAGACTATACAGCGTCGAATGAGAGGATGATAGTGAATAATAAATTGGAAAGAATGTGGAAGGAAGTGGTCGTGGCCTAATTTAAGGTACTATCCAGACATTGCCTGGAAGGACTGAGAAAAATCGCGAAAAATTGTAGTCAGGATAGACCAACAATATCTTTACTGCCGTGAGAATCTCAAATTTTACACAACTAAGTATAGAGTTACTTTGTTGTAAAGTGTAAGTGCCCCTCCAATTATCAGAGGCAACTGTTGGATCCGATAGAAGGACCTAACGTCAAATATTGAGGTCCGATCTTCCTCCTTGACAGGACGTGAACACCTTTAGTTTCTAAGTAGTTTAATCATTGTGTTCTTTTGAGGACGTTAGTGCCAAACGACAAAAAAAATATCTAAATAAAGTAATAGCAATATCTAAAGAAATTATTTAATTTGAGTACTTAAAATTTCACTGTGATTGTAAATATATTTCTTCTGTTTATTGTATTTCAAAGTTAACCAGCATTTTTTCCGGAGCTATTGTAATTAATTTATTTAATTACTTTAAAATATCACTGTACTTCCGAGAACTGCTGTGGCTTACTATAATTAATTACTTGTACTTTAAGGAGCGGTAACCTGATAGATAAATAGAACCATATGTTCAGAATTCGTCAACATTTTTCACGCTTTCGATAAATGTGTTGCCAGAGTACAATAATTTGGATGCTAATCCCTGACAAGCCATCTTTACCACCCATTTTAAGTGTCTCGTACAAATATCACACGAATCTAATTACCTTCCATGTACAGTGTTACATGTAGCTTATTTGACAGTTATGCATGATAATTAGTTTGTAACAGTTAAGACAATTTGATTAAATGTTGACTGTAAATAACCCATCATAAATGAACCAAAAAGGATTGATTGTAGTTCCAAAAAGATTACAGAGCGCAGAATAACCTCTACTTTAGGGTGTGTTTATATTTAAGAGTTATTGTCAATACTGTTTATGTATGTGTTCCTCGTGAGTAAATCTTATAATACCAGGCTTAATAATCAGTGGTGTGTACATATCAAAATATGTCAGTGTGTAGTGTAGCATAAATGTTATTACACATGGAAAATAGTATTTTATTTGCCAAACAGTTACCTAGTCTCTAATCTCAAAAATCACGCTGTGAGATAAATAAGTGAATTGAAATAATATTTTGTACTAGTTCTTATGGGATTGAGAACTGTGTTCTACGGAAACTATGTTCTGCATCTTTTGCCTCGACGAAAATTCAGCATTTGTCAGCAGCAGAGAGCCGAATAATCGATTTTCACACGGGGAAGTGTATTCTACATGAATTATTACTTTGCCAGGAGAACCCCCTACACTGTTTCACATACTCGCCGTGTTTCAGATGCCATAATTTCAGAGAAGAACTTCAGGCAATCTGTATTTTAGACACTCCCGATTGTTTACATTACTACAATTATTATTTCACTGCAATGGATCGTAATTCAGTGAATGTTATGTAAGTTGTGATGTCATACGGTGTTTATTCTACATGGCGGTAGAAGAAATGTTTGCGATTTCTGTAATTAGATAGAATATTAAATGATTATTCCATTTTAATACCATTTTCTGAAACCGAACAAGAATGTTTTTCTTATTTATTCAGTTTTATACAAGATACACTGATGCTTCTTTATACTTTATTAAAACAGGATATTTCACCAGCATGCAGAGTTACATTTTATCTTTTCTATGCAAAATACAAGTGATACAGGAGTTGTAAATTTTACTGATATTCCATGTTTATCGCACTAAGTCTAGCAAGATAATTATGGTCGCTAGTTGCATAGATGTTATGAGTTCCAGGAATAGCATAAGGGGATATCATTAGCGTTACGTAAGTTAGAGATGAACTTCTAATAAGATATTTACAAAACGAAACTTTAATCAGGAATGCTCACACTGGGAAGACATTTTAATTGCGCTCAATTCCGTATTTACAGAACATTAAGGCTACTTCTCTTCTGGATTTAAAATAACTCCAAGTTTGTTAAGAGAGAGAGGAGTGGAGAATATAGGAGAGCTATAAGCGTTAGTCTTTTTAACACAGTTGCAGTATCTGCGAAAATCAGTTTGCCTCCGTATTTATACGCAATTACACAGGAAACGTCTTATGTGGCCATAGATTACAGAAACTATGTAACTTATTTAAAACATTGTTTCTCGAATGTGGAAAATTAGGACATGGATCAAAGTGAACTGCCACGGAATGCGTCTTAAAGTGCCTGTAACATGACACTTTAATTTAATCAGGGGACGGATTAATAGACGTCATGACTAGACACACACAGCTAATTAATGGGTTCACGAACAAGTTAGGAAATATATGTATTTCGTAAATGATTTTGAAGTAGTTTTCAGGATTTGAAATTTGGCCTTTGTGAATAAAGCCGGCGACTTCAGTTCTCTGACGTCAACGACCTGAATGGTTGGGGGGTGGTAGTGCCTGTCTAGCTGGTTTAAGGCGTCATGAAGTGGGATTCAAAACGCGGTTGCATGCTGCTAGGGACTCCCCACTCTGGAATACCCCGGCTGGGGATTCCTCATTCGCGAATTTTCCACCCAGTGATTTTAGTTCCCAGACGCGTAAATTGCCAGATATTTTCATCCAATGTTAACCAAAGTGGAGTGTTTTACACATTTTTGTAAAATAATCATCGGGAAGACCACTTACATTTCTGGTAGAAAATTTAAGCGTGCACTATTGTGGCTTTGTACTTCATATACATTCGTGTTTTACAATTGAGACTTTCGCAAGTTCAGTTTGTGGGTTCTAAAACTATGTTGCACAATGAAGTTTCGCTTCATTTTTGTGTGTTATCTTGAAAAGGTATAGGCTTTCCAAGGGGCTGATCACTCATTAATTTTACACCGTGTTACTCAGAATTAATTATGAGGTGTAGCAGGCTAAAGCAATCAATCACTCATAAAGAGGAAGAAATGCAAGAAGAAATTAGAAAACTCACAGATACTGATATGAGTTTTAAGTAAGTTCTGTGGATACAAGATGGTAGCTTCTCTGAAGATGCTACATATACATTAGGCGTGCTTCGTAGTGTACGGATAAAGTAGAAACTTTCCAAGATAGTCAGAAAATCACGAAAACAACTTTTCAACCTAACACGGGTCTACATTTTTAGTACAGTACTTATTTCTTCTTAGGAATAACTGTATGCCTGTGGAATACTTATTTTTTGAATACAATAAAAAGTTTTGTGGCTTATCTACTATGACGGTCACACGGATGGACATTTATTGGACATTTTCATCGTGCATGTGAAGTAGCGGAATATGCATAATCAAGATTTCCGTCTTCTGGGTTGTTGCGCTGTGTAGTCTGGTCGATGTTACCCAACGTTTCAGAGGTCATACTGCCTCCGTCATCAGGGCGATTCTTAGTATGAAGATTTCTGTCTTCTGGGTTGTTGCGCTGTGTAGTCTGGTAGATGTTTCAGAGGTCATACTACCAGACTACACAGCTCAACAACCCAGAAGACGGAAATCTTCATACTCACCGCTGTGAGAACCTCAAGTCTTACATGCATAATCAACACCGTGAAGTACTCCCAAAGAGTTACGAGTCTCAAATTTGTCCTTCCTAACGCATCGAGAGGTACAAATTACTCCATGTCTTAACGTTGTCCCTTAAGAATGCTCCAATTGTTACATGTGTTTACCTGAGACCCTCCAACCCTCCACCTCGTAGTCTAGTTGGTTTTCTGAATGGCGTTGTTTCCATTGCCGGCCACGACCTGTAAGGTGAGCAAATAGTCACATTATAATGCTTTCCGAAACCACGCTTTCCAATTTACTTGCACTTGCCCACACGAACATGCATGTAACTTGTCATTTACGGCCATTAGCAGACGAGCGCTGAGAATATTAGATGGTAACGGTACGCGAAATTGCAGAGGATGAAATAAAAAGGAACATTAAAACTTTCTGTAAAATGAAGCATAACTTCGAGTTTCTGTGTAAGAGAATGCCACAATATCAACATACGTCTTCGATACTTCCGTCATACTGTTAAAAATATAACAGGCCTGCCATCCTTATCCATGATAGGCCTACTTTGATTTACTAATTTCATTATGTAAATACATGGGAATCTTTTGTATACGGATAATAAGTCTAAATGGCTATAAAATATAACATGCCGTTCATTCTATTGTAGCGATAAAACTTTTTAAATTAATGTAAAGTTCGATACGTTTATTTAGACCATCTTCAAAATAAGATTGGCCAAACTGAAAATAATAAAATCCTATGAGATGCGCTACTACGTATTCAGAACTTTAAATATTCCGACGATAAGTTCCCTCTTCTGTGTTTTCATTTACACACATCCCAGTGCCTTTGCCTGAGACACATTTGATATACACGACGATTCGAGATTTAAATCTTCTCTCGTTTTAAGACGATTGTTTGTCACTTGTATTGTTATTAATGGCAAATATTGAAATTGAAGTCGGGACCTTTTGAATATTAGGCTAGTGTGCTACCCACTGGGACCGACGGAGTGGCGCAGAAATAATTACAATGTTTCTCACCCTGTTTTCCTAGTCGAATCCATACAGAAATTAAGTCGAGGGTTAGTTGACTGATGCCCTGTTCTGTAGCCCTGAGGAACACTTTTTCAGTGTCCTAATGGTTCCATTTTCTTCTTTGTGTATGATTTATGCTTAGACGTAAGACCCAAGAATTGATATTTGATGCTCTCTCAGCGGTGAAGATATCGATGATGTTTCTTGGGTTGTGAAGGCGTGTAGATTCGTGAAGTTCACCGACTGAGATGGTTACGCAGTTTTACTCAACCGCCCGTTTTTACTACACGTGCCAAAATAAATGCGAATGAGAGTTGGTATGACCAAAGAGTCTCTGCTGTACGACCCAAGTGAAAGCTGATGTCACGCGGAAATGGTAGTAGAATGCTAAGGTCATCTGTTCCCCTACAAAACCTGTCTCGACAACTCCTAGTCAGTGGACATTTGGTGGGTACTAACGTTTCGAAGAAACATGCTGTTTCCATTTTCAGGGTTTTTTTATGGAGACAGTCGCAATCCAGAAGAACATCGACTTTTCTTGCAAAGAAAATTGTACTCAGACACTACACATCATAGACTGGGAACCGATGTCTTGATTTAGTTATATGTGTATATATATATATATATATATATATATATATATATATACAGTAAAAAAATATATTTA